GCAGCACCAGGCGCTCTCCAGCCCCACAACCATTCAAGCACAATGCACACTTGCAAAGCGGTCAAGCATGGGGCACGAGGCATGGGACAACCCCATGACCATGCAAGGGCAATGCGAGCTTGCAAAGCAGCTGAGCATGGGGCACCAGGCATGGGACAGCCCCACAACCATGCAAGGGCAATGCGAGCTTACAAAGCAGCTGAGCATGGGGCACCAGGCACTCTCCAGGCCCACAACCATGCAATGGCAATGCAAGCTTGCAAAGAAGCTGAGCATGGGGCACCAGGCACTCTCCAACCCCAGGACCATGCAAGGGCAATGCATGCTTGCAAAGCAGTCGGCACCAGGCTCTCTCCAGCCCCACAACCATGTAAGGGCAATGTGTGCTTGCAAAGCAGCTGAGCGTAGCACCCCGCTGCCTCTCCAACGACCACCTCCCCATCGTGGCCATGGGGCTCTCAGGCAGGATGAACCCACGTGGACGGTCACCACCCTGCGCAGGACGAGGACACGGCCGTGGTGCACTCACCCGCACTTCCTTGTAGAGTCGCAGGCAGCTGTGGTTGAGGATGAAGTAGCGGTCGTGGAAGCCCGTGCTGACGCCGAGCCCCAGCAGGTTCCTCTCCTCCCGAAACTTCATCATGCCGTGCTTGCAGTCGCCAACTCTGCTGGCTGTGGYGCATTGGGAGGATGCGTTGGACACGGCACAGACAGACCGACAGCGCTTGCATGGAAACCCCAGGGGAGTCTCCGTGGTGGACTACGTTCTCCAGGACCTGCATGGTCCCATSTGTGAGCCGTCGGGCCCTTCCCTTACCCAAGTAGACGAGCATGTTCTCCATGGACATCTGCTTCTTCACCACCAGGTAGCTCTCTGTCCCCAGGCCGTGCAAAATGGGCAGGACTTTCTCCGAGTAGTGCAAGGGCCTCTCTGCACGGGACGGGGAGCAGCGGGTCAGCACCACCCATAGACATGAGCCCGTTTTGTCCCGCTACCGGCCACCGTGCAGCAGTGCAAAGTGCTCGGTGTCCCCTCGGCTCCGGTGGCAGCGGGGACTGCTGGAAGGCGATCRAGGAGCAATCGCAAGCATTTCTGCAAGGGTTTCTTGCAAATATGGAACTTGCACTTGTGCACGCACCTCGGCACTCCCGTCGGGCCGCGTTCCCGCGCAAGCAAAGGGCGAGCGAGGCAACGCATAGGGAAAGCATTCCGGGAAGGCAAGCGCACGGCCGCTCCGCCTTGGACACATTTCAGAGGTTTCTTTGAAGGGCTGGGTGGTCGTGGGCTCCATCCAGCCAAGCCAGGGCTGGGTTGGGCTCGTTGTCTTTGGCCAGTGCCAAAACGTCTCATATTTCCCCCAAAAGGAGCGCCTGAGGGACTGCRGGCGGGTCGGGATGGGGGCAGAGGGATGATCCCGACATCGGCTTTCCCATCCCGGACACGTCCCGCACCCACCTGCCTCCTCCCTCTCGTTCACTTCAAAGCAGCTCCAATAGTCCTTGTCCTTCATGAGGATTTTCCTGCGATCCAGGATCTCGAAGGTCAGCTCCTCGGCCGTCATCGTCGCCGGGATCTGCAGGAGATGGAAGGGATCATGGATCGGGATGATGCTGCCTGCAGCCCCGTCTGTGCCCCCTGCCCCATGCTGGCCACCCACCTTGACGTGCTGCTCGGCCTCGGTCTTCTTCTCCTCCAGGTACACGGTGCAGATGAAGTCCCCGGCTTGCTGCAAGGCAACAGGAGGCCCTATAGCCAAAGCCCACCACGCTCAAAGTAATTCCTCCCCAAAACGCATCCCCGGGGACATCTCCCTTTCCAGCACCACCATCGATTGAGTCTCCTGGAGTTGAAAGGAGACGGGAAGGCAGCAGAGAAGGGATTTCCCCACAGGAGAGCAGAGGAACCATGTGCCATCAAGGGAGGTGACACCGAGGGATGGACCCACCTGCGTCCCGCTGGATGCCGCCTCCCGCATCTTCATGATGGCTGTGATCTCGTCCTGYTGCTTCTTCATCTCCTGGTCGTTGACCTGCCGAGGAAGAGGAGCCCAGAGAGCGGTGAGGGCCAGCACAGAAATCCCTGCTCACATCCCAGACTTGGGCTTGTTACTAGCGGTGACCAGAAGATCCCTACATCCTGTTGTGGAAGCATGGGGTGGTCCACAGAGCATGAACTTAGGGTATCTGCAGGGTTTGCAGGGCAATGTCCCCCCTTCCATTGATCTCCAGAGACACTTCTGCAGGAGGGTACCCGCTTTCCTCCTCTCATGGCCTCCCCAAGCCCAACCTATGCCCTGGAAGGTGTCCACCCTTGCAGCAAGCCAGGAACTGCTGTGGAAGTGCAGCGTGTTCCTGTACTGGTCTCATCCAGAGCCAGACCTCCCTGCAGAGCCAACAGCTCCGTAGCTGGGACCAGGGGCCCAACCTACATTGAAGATCTTCACGTAGTGGTTGATGAGGTCCTCCACCACGCGGCCCGCCTTGTAGTCCTTCCCATCGGTCTGGAAGAGCGTGGGCCCGAAGACGATGGCCAGGTTGTGCGTGTTCATCTGGTTGTCACCGGAGAAGCGCTGCACCCTGTGGACATGGGGCCCCCCATCACACCTCCAAGTCTTACGTTGCCCCAAAGACCCTCCTTGGACCAACCCTTGCTTGGGATGATGCTCAGGTTGAGCCAACAACTGAAGTTGGCCAAAGATCCCCATCTTTTGCTTGGGGCTTTCCCTTCCCCTTCCAAAGGGACCCCCGTCATCACGGGGACCGCTCAACCCACCAACACATCCCTCCTCACCGGAAGAGGTGGTTGATGAGGGTCTTCAGCGTGGCCCTGTTCACCGCGGGCAGGTTGCCCAGAAGCCGCCGGTACTCGCCGATCTTCTGCTCCTCGTCCTCCAGCGCTGCAGGAAGGGACAGGGGCACTTATGGGAAGGCATCAGTGTGGGTGGAAAAGCAGGAATGGACATGGTCCCCTCCAAGATCTCCCAGCTGTTTTGAAGCTGGATGCGCCCAATTCCAGCATTCAGGAAGAACCCACATGAGGCTTCTCCTCATCTCAGAGAGGACCAGAGGAGCCCGGACACACTTTGCACGGAGGCAGTGGCCACTTGCAAAGGGTCACGAAGGGGACATGGGCAGGCAAGGTGACAGTCCCCGGCCGTGCAGCTGGTCCATGGAGAAGCTGAGGAGCAGCATCCCACCATGTCCCATCTCAGAGAATTACAGAATCTTCCAGGTTGGAAGGGACCTCTAGAGATCATCTAGTCCAACCTTCCTGCTCAGGCAGGAAGGTCCTGCTTGAGGAAGGTGCTTGAGGAACCGCTTGAGGAACTTCTTCACTGTGAGAGTGACAGAGCCCTGGCACAGGCTGCCCAGGGAGGCTGTGGAGTCTCCTTCTCTGGAGGTCTCCAAAACCCACCTAGATGCCACCCTGTGCCAGATGCTGTAGGTGTCCCTGCTTGAGCAGGAAGGTTGGACTAGATGATCTCTAGAGGTCCCTTCCAACCTTGAACATTCGGTGATTCTGTGACTCTGTGAAGGTGGTAGCATCTCGCTACCACCAAAGGAAGCTCCCCACAGCCCCACCATCACAGAACCATAGAATCATTACGGTTGGAAAAGACCTTCGAGATCATSGAGTCCAACCCCAGGGCCTCACCCGTGGCCCGCAGCCAGTCCTGGCTCCAGCGCTGGGTGAAGAGCCCGTCGCCGAGCTCGCGGAAGAAGCGCTTGAGGGTGTTGGAGACGTCGTCCACGTGGTGCTCGCCCTCCTTGAGGCGCACGCTGCGGGCGTCCTTGCGCAGCATCTCCAGCAGCCCCGTGGTCTTGGAGTTCTGCCCGCTCTTGCGGTAGATGCCCTCGGAGGTGAGCCCTGCGGCGGGGACGCGGCGGGCCGTGAGCCCCACGCGCGCGGGGGCTCGCCGCGCCGCGTCCCGTTTTACGCACCGCACTGCGTGATGTAGTCGATGCAGCGGTCCACCAGGAGCGGGACGTCGGCCTCCGTGAGCTGCTGCTCCGACAGGGTGTCCCCGGCGCTGCCYGCCGCCCTGCGGATGGCCTGCACCCAGCCCAGGAAGTCCAGCTTCCTCTCGCCCTGGATGTAGAGYGTCCTGCGGGGCGCCAAGGATGCTCAGGTAGCTCCAGGTGGCCCCCGGTTGTCCCCCTGGGCCTCCATGGAGTGGGGTTGGCGTTTTGGGGACGGGTTGCGCTCCTACCTCCGTCTCTCCACCAGCACCAGCACCTCGTTGTCTCCCTGGATGGCTGCGGGGGCAAGTGGAGACACTGTCAGCGCCGGGATCATTAGCAGCACAGCAAGAGGGAGGAAGATGATGGGCAGGAGAAAGAGAAGAGAGAAAGCAGCCCCCACATAGCACCCCATGCCCAGGATGTTGGAGCCACAACATGGGGCATGGAGCATGGGACGTGGGACACGGACCATGGAGCAAAGAGCAGGGAGCATGGACCATGGAGTATGGACCACGGAGCAGGAAGCATGGAGCAGGGAGTATGGACCATGGAGTATGGACCATGCAGCAAAGAGCATGGAGTATGGACTATGGACCATGGAGCAGGAAGCATGGAGCATGGGACATGAGAGGCGGACCATGGAGCAAAGAGCAGGGCGCATGGACCACGGAGTATAGACCATGGAGCAAAGAGCAGGGAGTATGGACCATGGAGCATGGAGTATGGACCTTGGAGTATGGACCATGGAGCAGGGAACATGGACCATGGAGTATGGACCATGCAGCAAAGAGCAGGGAGTATGGACCATGGAGCAGGAAGCATGGAGCATGGGACAAGGGATACGGACCATGGAGCAAAGAGCAGGGAGCATAAACCTTGGAGTATGGACCATGGACCATGGAGTATAGACCATGGAGCAGGGAGCACGGACCATGGAGTAGGGAGTATGGACCATGGAGTATAGACCATGGAGCAGGGAGCATGGACCATGGAGTAGGGACCATGGACCATGGAGTAGGGACCATGGAGCAGGAAACATGGAGCATGGGACATGGGACACAGACCATGGAGCAAAGAACAGGGAGCATGGACCATGGAGTATGGACCATGGAGCAGGGAGTATGGACCATGGAGTATGGACCATGGAGCAGGGAGTATGGACCATGTATCATGGACTATGGAGCAAGGAGCATGGAGCATGGACTGTGGAGCATGGAGTATAAGAGCATGGAACAAGGAGCATGGAGTATAGAGCATGGAACAAGGAGCATGAACCACGGAGCACAGGCCTTGGGATATGGAGCATGGACCATGGAGCGTGAACCATGGCCATGGAGCATGGACTGTAGGCCAAGGAGGACTGAGCATGAACCGTGGACCATGAAAGATGGACCATGAAGCACGGAGGAGCACGGGCCATGGAGAATGGAGCTTGGAGCATGGAGCGTCCCACCACCGGCACCTACAGAGCTCCTGCAGCTTGCGCAGCTGGAGGGGCTCCTCGCGCTCGCCGCTGCCGGAGCACACGTGCAGCACGGAGCCGGCGAGGGCGAACCAGCCCTCCTTGGCGCGCTCCAGGCTGAGGCCGCCCTTGTAGTGCAGGCGCCCGACGCGCTCGAACTCGCGGCTCAGCAGCTCCTCGGCGTGCGGCGGCACGAAGCTCTGGCGACGGAGGAGACCCCGTCGGTGCCGGGGACAGGGAGCAGCCGGGAGCCCCAGGGGTGCATCCCGGGAATCTCAGGGGTGCATTCCGGGAATCTCAGGGGTGCATTCCGGGAGCCCCAGGAGTGCATCCTGCGAACCCCAGGGGTGCATACCGGGAATCCCAGGGGTACATACTGGGAATCCCAGGGGTACATCCCAGGAACCACAGGAGTGCATCCCGGGAATCCCAGGGGTACATCCCGGTAATCCCAGGGGTGCATCCTGGGAATCCCAGGGATGCATACCGGGAATCCCAGGGGTACATCCCGCAAATCCCAGGGATACATCCCAGGAACCCCAGGGGTACATCCCAGTAATCTTAAGGGTACATCCCGGGAGCCCCAGGAGTACATCCCGGGAACCCCAGGGATGCATCCTAGTAATCCCAGGGGTGCATACCGGGAATCCCAGGGGTACATACTGGGAATCCCAGGGGTACATCCCAGGAACCACAGGAGTGCATCCCGGGAATCCCAGGGGTACATCCCACAAACCCCAGGGGTACATACCAGGACCCCCAGGGGTGCATCCTGGGAATCCCAGGGGTACATCCTGGGAATCTCAGGGGTGCATTCCGGGAACCCCAGGAGTGCATTCCGGGAGCCCCAGGAGTACATCCCGGGAATCCCAGGGGCACATCCCAGTAATCCCAGGGGTGCATACCGGGAATCCCAGGGGTACATCCCGGTAATCCCAGGGGTGCATCCTGGGAATCCCAGGGATGCATACCGGGAATCCCAGGGGTACATCCCGCAAATCCCAGGGATACATCCCAGGAACCCCAGGGGTACATCCCAGTAATCCCAAGGGTACATCCCGGGAGCCCCAGGRGTACATCCCGGGAACCCCAGGGATGCATCCCGGTAATCCCAGGGGTGCTACCTTGGCGAGACACTTGACCCATTCCCGTACGGCCTCGGGGTGCTCCAGCCCGAAGAGGTAGAGCCTCTCCGCCTCGGTGTAGAGCTCGAAGGTGCTCTCCAGCCTGCGGCGGGAGGAAGAGGAGGATGCGCGGGCTGCGCGGGCTGCGCGGGACGCGGGCATCGCGGCGCGCGGGACGCACCCGTGCGCGCGGGGCGCGCTGTGCGCCACGCAGACCATCTCCTCGGCGCGGATCTCGCCGTTGGGGCCGGCGCTGCGCTCGCTCTCGTAGTAGCTGAAGGCGCCGTCCTGCAGCGTGCACCAGCGGCGGCTGAACTCTGCGCGGCACAGGCGGCTGCGTGCGGGCGCCCGGACCCCGGAGCTCGCGTTTCCCAGCCTCATCCTCGCCTGTTCCCCGCGTTATCGCTCACCTTCCAGGCTCTTGCGCTCGCCGGGCGGCTTGGCCATGGAGGGCGTCTTGTAGAGGAAGCCGTGGTGGGCGACGGAGGGCAGCGGCACCGTGTAGAGCTGCTCGGCGCGGCCGCTCGCCTCCAGGCGCGGCGTTTCTGCGCACGAGGGGATGGATCTTCTCCCCAGTGTGCTCCACGTGCAGCCAGCTCCACGGGGCATCACGGGCTCGCATCCCCATCCCCAAAGCGGAGGCACAAGGGACGTCCCCAAGGATGGGAATGGGGCTGCGGGGGGCACTGATGTCCCCTCCTGGGAATGCATGGAGGTGGCAGGGCTGGGAAGGCGATGGATGAGCTCTTGGGGGTTGCTCTGCGTTGGAGCTGCTCCCCTCCGTTTCCCAAACTAAGGGCCAGATTCCTGCCCCTCATCCCCGAGGTCGCTGGGAAGTGGCCGCTCGGAGCTCCAATGGATTCCGTTCATCCCCAAGGATTTCCCAGGGGAAAAGGGAGCTGCAGGGACCCAGGGCAGCGACAACATGGCCCAAACCTCCCCGCTCCGACCTTCGCAGCAATGTCCCTCTGCAAAACAGCCCAGGAGGGAGAGCCGAGAGGAAGAGGAGGAGGAAGAGGAGGAGGAAAGGGGAGGAGGTGAGGCCCGCTCCGGGCTCCTGCATTCCTGCGGTTTTGTCCTGGCATTTAGGTTTGGGGGCCGGGTCAGCAGTGAGCGATGGAGGGGAGGAAATAAAAAGCTGCTCTGTCCCGAAGCCTTGTCCGTTGGAGCTGCCTCCAGCCGGGCAGGAATGCTGCATCCATGCATTGCATTGCATCTGCACCCATGCACAACATTGGATCTGTGCCCATGCACGACGTTGCATCTACACCCATGCACGATGTTGCATCTGCTCCCATGCATGACACTGCATCCGCACCCACGCATGACATTACATCTTCACCCATGCACCGAGTTGCATCCACGCCCATGCACGAAACTGCATGTGCATCCATGCATGACATTGCATCTACTCCCATGCACAAAGTTGCATCCCCGCCCATGCACAACGATGCATCTGTTCCCATGCACAGCATTGCATCTGCTCCCACGCACGACATTGTATATGTGCCCATACACGACGTTGCATCCACACCCATGCACAACATTGCATCTGTACCCATGCACCAAGTTGCATCCATGCCCATGCACAACACTGCATCCGCGTCCAAGCACCAAGTTGCATCCGCGCCCATGCACGACATTGCATCCGCACCCATGCACAACATTGCATCTGCTCCCATGCATGGCATTGCACCCACACCCATGCACAACATTGCATCCGCACCCATGCATGATNCATGCACAACATTGCATCCGCACCCATGCATGATGTTGCATCCGCACCCATGCACAACATTGCATCTGCTCCCATGCATGGCATTGCACCCACACTCATGCACAACATTGCATCCGCACCCATGCACAACATTGCATCGGTACCCATGCACGACATTGCACCCACACCCATGCACAACACTGCATCCGTGCCCATCCACGATGTTGCATCTGCGCCCATGCACAACATTGCATCCGCACCCATGCACAACATTGCATCTGTTCCCATGCTTGGCATTGCATCCACACCCTTGCACAACATTGCATCCGCACCCGTGCACGACGTTGCATCCGCGCCCATGCACAACATTGCATGTGTACCCATGCACGACACTGCATCCGTGCCCATACACCAAGTTGCATCCGTGCCCATGCACCGAGTTGCATCCGTGCCCATACACGACATTGCATCCGCACCCATGCACGGCACTACATCCACTCCCACGCAGCAAGCTGCATCCCTGCATGGGGACGGGGTGCTCCTGCGGCCTTACCCGAGCTCTGGTTGTGCATGAGGAACTCGACCTGCAGGCGCTGCCCGCTGCGCCGCGCCAGGGCGAGGGGCGAGGGGCAGCCGGGGTCCCCCGTGGCGCAGCTCACGGACGCCCCGCAGAACACGAGCGCCTGCGTCTCGGCCAGGTCCCCCGTGGTGACGGCRGCGCACAGGGCCTGCGGCGGCACGAGCGCCGTGAGCGCGGGGCCGCCCACGGAGGAGGCCCACGGAGGAGGCGCGGGACAAAGGGAGGCTCCGGCCGAGCCGGGCTTTTGGAGCTGGCCGGTCCCTCCCTTCTGGAGCTGGGATGAAGTCATCGGGGCGGCGGGGCGGGATCGCCGGCGCCGCAGCAAAACAAACCGGCCCGCCCGCGGCTCCCTGCAGTCCGGAGAGCCTTGCAAATGCACCCTGGGGTTGCATCCCAACACCCTGCCCTTTCCCGGGCTGGAAAGGCACCCTGGGGTTGCATCCCGCCACCCTGCCCTTTCCCGGGCTGGAAAAGCATCCCGGGTTTGCATCTCACCACCTTTCCCTTTCCCAAGTGGGAAAAGCACCCTGGGTTTGCACCCTGACACCCTTCCCTTTCCTGGGCTGGAAAAGCACCCTGGGATTGCATCCCACCACCCTGCCCTTTCCCAGGCTGGAAAAGCACCCTGGGTTTGCACCCTTCCCTTTCCCAAGTGGGAAAACCACCCCAAGTTTGCACCCTTCCCTTTCCCAGGGTGGAAAATCCCATTGCAGACCCCACTCCGCAATGCAGGACCCCCAGAGCACAGCGGGGTGCATGCAAGGATCCCTCATGCATGCACAACCCTGCAGCGTGTCCCATCACAGGGGGTGCATGCAAGGATCCCCGGTGCATGCACAACCCTGCAGCGTGTCCCATCACAGGGAGTGCATGCAAGGATCCCCGGTGCATGCACAACCCTGCAGCATGTCCCATTGCAGGGGGTACATGCAAGGATCCCCGGTGCATGCACAACCCTGCAGCGTGTCCCATCACAGGGGGTGCATGCAAGGAGCCGCAGTGCATGCACAACCCTGCAGTGTGCCCCATCGCAGGGGGTGCATGCAAGGATCCCTCATGCATGCACAACCCTGCAGCACGCCCCATCGCTGCCAGCCCCCCCGGGACCCCCCGAGACCCTCGCTCACTGACCCTGTCGAGCTCCTCCTGGTTGCCGAAGAGCGGGTGGTAGCGGCGGTACTTGCCCTGGCGRTACTTGGCGCCGAGGAAGCGGCGCCGCTCCTCGGAGCCGCTCGCCGGCCCGATGGCCTCGCTGGGCGGCACGTTGGCGGCCCAGAAGCGGTTGGCCGCGGCGTTGCCCACGCGCAGGAAGAGCTGCGGGGAGCGGCGGGGCGCTGCAGCGGCGGGGGCTCGCCCGGGAATCCCGCCGCCCGGCCCCTCTCCGAGCCGGAAAACATCTGGAGAGCGGCGGGCGGCCGGAGGCTCCGGCGGGAGCGGGGCGAGGCCGGAATGCGCGGGGGCGGCGCGCTCGGATGGGGCCCCCCCGACATACCCAGCAAGACCCCGGTGCGGAAAAGGACCTGATACTCCCCCCAGCTGAGACCCTGCAACTCGTGTCAYGTCAGGGCAGCGCCCGGAGCGGAGCCCTCGGGGCGCCCCGGTCCCTGGAGGCTCCGCGGGCGGGAAGGGGCCGCCCCGGCCTCCGCCCCGYGCTGGCTGCAGCGCCGCATTCCTGCACGGCCGCATGCAGCCCCGCGGCCGCGCCGCTCCTGCAGCGGGGCCCTGCCCCACGGCTTTGCGCCTTGCGGCTGCACGTGGCCCCACGGGTGCATGTACCCGGCTATGGGGCAGTGCCCCGTGGAGCTGCGCCCCACKGCTGCGTGTTGCAATGGTGCTGCACCCCATGGTGCTGCATGCACCCCGTGGCTGCATGCAGCCTGCAGTGCCCCGTGGCTGCGTGCATCCTGTCATGGTGCTGTGCCCCATAGCCTGCACCCCACAGCCTGCCCCACATGCATCCTATAGTGGTGCTGTGCCCCACAGCCACAGACAGGCTGCAGTGGGGCTGTGCTGCAGCCCTGCATGCATCCTGCCATGGTGCTGCACCCCACGTGCCCCACAGCTGCATGCATCCTSCCATGGTGCTGTGCCCCATAGCCTGCACCCCACAGCCTGCCCCACATGCATCCTACAGTATTGCTGTGCCCCACGGTCACAGACTGCAGTGGGGCCGTGCTGCAGCCCTGCATGCATCCTGCYGTGGTGCTGTTCCCCATAGCCTGCACCCCACACCTGCATGCATCCTGCAGCAGCACTGCCCCGCACATCTGTGTGCATCCTGCCATGGTGCTGYGCCCCCACAACCTGCCCCATAGCTGCATGCATCCTGCCAAACTGCTGCACCCCACAGCCGCATGCATCCTGCAACAGCACTGTGCCCCACACTGTGCCCCATGGCCGCATGCATCCTGCAACGGTGMTGCCCCCCAACATTGCACCCCAAGGCTGCACACATCCTGCTCTGGCTCTGCCCTCCAGCCTCGCATGCATCCTGCAGTGGTGCTGAGCCCCAGCCTTGCACCCTATAGCTGCATGCACCCTGCAACGGTGCTGCTCCCATGCCTTGCATGCATCCCRCAGCGGTGCTGGGCCCTGGTCTTGCACCTATGCTCATATGCATCCTGCAGCAGCACTGCTCCCATGCCTTGCACATATGCTGCAATAGTGCTGAGCCCCAGCTAAGCACCCTATAGCCAAATGCATCCTGCAACCGTGCTGCTCTCTGGCATTGCATGCACCCTGCAACAGCACTGGGATGCAACCTTTGCATGTATCCTGCAGCGGTGCTGCGCCCCATCCCTTGCTTTCATCCTGAAGCTGTGCTGCACCGCATCCCTTGCATGCATCCTGCAACCATGCTGCATTCCATCCCTTGCATGCATCCTGCAGCCATCCTGCATCCCATCCTTTGCATGTATCCTGCAGCCATTCTGCACCCCCACCCCTCGCATGCATCCTGCAGCTCTGCTGCCCATCCCTTACATGCATCCTGCAATCATGCTGCACCCATCCMTTGCATGTATCCTGCAGCAGTGCTGCACCCCATCCCTTATTTGCATCCTGCRGCTGTGGTTCACCCCAAACCCTTGCATTCATCCTGAAGCTGTGCTGCAGCCCCTCTCTTGCATGCATCCTGCAGTCATGCTGCATTCCATCCCTTGCATCCATCCTGCATCTCATCCTGCATCCCATCCTTTGCATGTATCCTGCRCCTTCCTTGCATGCATCCTGCAGCAGTGCTGCACCCYATCCCCTTGCACGCACCCTGCAGCTATTCTGCACCCCATCATCTGCATGCATCCTTCAGCCATCCTGCACCCCATCCCCTTGCATGCACCCTGCAGCCGTGCTGCACCCTATCCCTTGCATGCATCCTGCAACCATGCTGCACCCATCCCTTGCATGCACCCTGCAGCCATGCTGCACCCCATCCCTTGCACGCACCCTGCAGCCATTCTGCACCCCATCCCTTGCATGCATCCTGCATCCATCCTGCACCCCATCATTTGCATGCACCCTGCAGCCGCGCTGCACCCCGTCCCCTGCCCACGCACATCCTACCTCAATGAGCTCCTCGGTCCACACCTTCCTGTCCATCTTGAGGCTGCGCACCTTGGACACGCTGGGGCCCAGGCCCCGGTGCTCTCCTGGCGGTGTGGAATGGGGGGGACACACAGGGTGACACGGGGCCCCCCCGGCCCCCCCGCTGCCCCGCCGCAGCCGCCCGCTACCTGCGCAGCGCTTGCAGATGACGACGCAGAGGTTGATGGAGGCCCAGTCGGGCTGCGGCGCGCCGCAGTCGGCGCACGCGCGGTTCGCCTCGGCCGCCCACACGCGCTCGGCCACCTCGGCCGTGGAGAGCGCCGCGGCCACCGCTTGCCGCATGGCCTCCACCCACTCCTCCTTCTCCGGCTCCGAGTCGGCCCAGAAGCTGCGCGGGGACGGGGATGGGGACGGGGA